CCTGACCCACACAAACTGTGAGATAATATATGTGTGCTGTTTTAAGCATCAAAGTTTTGAGGTAATTTGTTAGGCAGCAACAGGTAACTGATACACAGTAGTATCTTTATTTATCTGTCTCTTTCTCTAGCAGGATCAGGAGAGAGCTGTTTAAGGTCAGTGAGTTCTTGTCATGTGTCTTTACCTGTTCAGTCACCACTGGAGAGTTTCCTGCCAGGATCCATCCTCAAGGTGAAAGGTGTGGAAGGTCCTCAGTGTAGTTTCTAATGCTCCAGGAAAGCCCTCTGTGCTCTTCATCAGTTCCCACCTTTGGGCCTCCCACTGGAACCCTCCACAATTGTGTTTCTCCACTTAAGCATCATTTAGTTTACAAACCAGAGGTAGCAAGTCAATTACTTCTGGAGTCTAAAACTTTAGCCTGGGAGGGAGATTATTATTTTATTTATTTATTTATTTATTTATTTATTTATTTATTTATTTATTTATTTATTTATTTTTATATGTTAAGTTAATCATCATACATTACATCATTAGTTTTTGATGTAGTGTTCCATGATTCATTGTTTGCATATAACACCCAGTGCTCCATGCAGAATGTGCCCTCTTTAATACCCATCACCAGGCTAACCCATCCCCCCACCCTCCTCCCCACTAGAACCCTCAGTTTGTTTCTCAGAGTCCATAGTCTCTCATGGTTCATCTCCCCCTCCAATTTGCCCCCCTTCATTTTTCCCTCCTAGTATCTTCTTTTTTTTTTTGTATATATATATATATTTTAAATTTTATTATGTTATGTTAATCACCATACATTTCATCATTAGTTTTTTTTTTAAAGATTTTATTATGTTATGTTAGTCACCATACAATACATCATTGGTTTTTGATGTGGTGATCCACGATCCATTGTTTTCGTATAACACCCGGTGCTCCATGCAGTATGTGCCCTCCTTAATACCCATCACCGGGCTAACCAATCCCCCCTCCCACCTCCCCTCTAAAACCCTGTTTGTTTCTCAGAGTCCGTAGTCTCTCATGGTTCATCTCTCCCTCCAATTTCCCCCCCCCCATTTTTCCCTTCCTTCTCCTAATGTCCTCCATGTTATTCCTTATGTTCCACAAATAAGTGAAACCATGTGATAATTGACTTTCTCTGCTTGACTTATTTCACTTAGCATAATCACCTCCAGTCCCATCCATGTTGATGTAAAAGTTGGGTATTCATCTTTTCTGATGGCTGAGTAATATTCCATTGTATATATGGACCACATCTTTTTTTATCTATTCATCTATTGAAGGGCATCTCGGTTCTTTCCATAGTTTGGCTATTGTGGACATTGCTGCTATGAACATTGGGGTACATTTGGCCCTTCTTTTCAGTACATCTGTGTCTTTGGGGTAAATACCCAGGAGTGCAATTGCTGGGTCATAGAGTAGCTCTATTTTTAAATTTTTGAGGAGCCTGCACACTGTTTTCCAAAGTGGCTGTACCAACTTGCATTCCCACCAACAGTGTAAGAGGGTTTTCTTTTTTTTTTTTTAACATATAATATATTATTTCTTTCAGAGGTACAGGTCTGTGATTCAACAGTCTTACACAATTCACAGCGCTCACCATAGCACATACCCTCCCCAATGTCTATCACCCAGCCACCCCATGCCTTCCACTCCCCCACCACTCCAGCAACCCTCAGTTTGTTTCCTGAGATTAAGAATTCCTCATATCAGTGAGGTCATATGATACATGTCTTTCTCTGATTGACTTATTTCGCTCAGCATAACACCCTCCACTTCCATCCATGTCATTGCAAATGGCAAGATTTCATTCCTTTTGATGGCTGCATAATATTCCATTGTATATATATACCACTTCTTCTTTATCCATTCATCTGTCGATAGACATCTTGGCTCTTTCCATAGTTTGGCTATTGTGGACATTGCTGCTATAAACATCAGGGTGCATGTACCCTTTTGGATCACTACATTTGTATCTTTGGGGTAAATACCCAGTAGTGCAATTGCTGGGTCATACGGTAGCTCTATTGTCAACTTTTTGAGGAACCTCCATACTGTTTTCCAAAGTGGTTGCACCAGCTTGCATTCCCACCAACAGTGTAGGAGGGTTCCCCTTTCTCCGCATCCCCGCCAACATCTGTTGTTTCCTGACTTGTTAATTTTAGCCATTCTGACTGGTGTGAGGTGGTATCTCATTGAGGTTTTGATTTGGATTTTCCTGATGCCGAGTGATGTTGAGCACAAAAGTGCTCTGTTGTGTCCGTTGGCCATTTGGATGTCTTCTTTGGAAAAATGTCGTTCATGTCTTCTGCCCATTTCTTGATTGGATTATTTGTTCTTTGGATGTTGGGTTTCATAAGTTCTTTATAGATTTAGGATACTAGCCCTTTATCTGATATGTCATTTGCAAATATCTTCTCCCATTCTGTCGGTTGTCTTTTGGTTTTGTTGACTGTTTCCTTTGCTGTGCAAAAGCTTTTTATCTTGATGAAGTCCCAATAGTTCATTTTTGCCCTTGCTTCCCTTGCCTTTGGCAATGTTTCTGCGGCTGAGGTCAAAGAGGTTGCTGCCTGTGTTCTCCTTTAGGATTTTGATGGACTCCTGTCTCACATTGAGGTCTTTCAACCATTCGGAGTCTGTTTTAGTGTGTGGTGTAAGGAAATGGTCCAGTTTCATTCTTCTGCATGTGGCTGTCCAATTTTCCCAACACCATTTGTTGAAGAGACTGTCTTTTCTCCTTTGGACATTCTTTCCTGCTTTGTCAAAGATTAGTTGACCATAGAGTTGAGGGTCCATTTCTGGGCTCTCTATTCTGTTCCATTCATCTATGTGCCTGTTTTTGTGTCAGTACCATGCTGTCTTGATGATGACAGCTTTGTAATAGAGCTGGAAGTCCGGAATTGTGATGCCACCAGCTTTACCTTTCTTTTTCAACATTCCTCTGGCTATGCGGGGTCTTTTCTGGTTCCATACAAATTCTAGGATGATTTGTTCCATTTCTTTGAAAAAAGTGGATGCTATTTTGATGGGGATTGCATTGAATGTGTAGATTGCTCTAGGTAGCATTGACATCTTCGCAATATTTGTTCTTCCAATCCATGAGCATGGAACGTTTTTCCATTTCTTTGTGTCTTCCTCAATTTCTTTCATGAGTATTTTCTAGTTTTCTGAGTACAGATCCTTTGCCTCTTTGGTTAGATTTTTCCTAGGTATCTTATGGTTTTGGGTGCAATTGTAAATGGGATTGACTCCTTAATTTCTCTTTCTTCTGTCTTGTTGTTGGTGTATAGGAATGCCACTGACTTCTGTGCATTGATTTTATATCCTGCCACTTGACTGAATTCCTGTATGAGTTCTAGCAGTTTTGGGGTGGAGTCTTTTGGGTTTTCCACATAAAGTATCATATCATCAACTTCTTCTTTGCCGATTTGGATGCCTTTTATTTCTTTTTGTTGTCTGATTGCTGTGGCTAGGACTTCTAATACTATGTTGAATAGCAATGGTGATAGTGGACATCCCTGCCGCGTTCCTGACCTTAGGGGGAAAGCTCTCAGTTTTTCCCCATGAGAATGATATTCGCTGTAGGTTTTTGATAGATGGCTTTTATGATATTGCGGTATGTACCCTCTATGCCTATACTCTGAAGAGTTTTGATCATGAAAGGATGCTGTACTTTGTCAAATGCTTTTTCTGCATCTATTGAGAGGATCACATGGTTCTTGTTCTTTCTTTTGTTAATGTATTGCATCACATTGATTGATTTGCGGATGTTGAACCAACCTTGCAGCCCAGGAATAAATCCCACTTGGTTGTGGTGAATAATCCTTTTAATGTACTGTTGGATCCTATTGGCTAGTATTTTGGTGAGAATTTTTGCATCCATGTTCATCAGGGATATTGGTCTGTAATTCTCCTTTTTGATGGGGTCTTTGTCTGGTTTTGGGATCAAGGTAATGCTGGCCTCATAAAATGAGTTTGGAAATTTTCCTTCCATTTCTATTTTTGGAACAGTTTCAGAAGAATAGGTATTAATTCTTCTTTAAATGTTTGGTAGACTTCCCCTGGGAAGCCATCTGGCCCTGGGCTTTTGTTTGTTGGGAGATTTTTGATGATTGCTTCAATTTATTTAGTGTTTATACATCTGTTCAGGTTTTCTATTTCTTCCTGGTTCAGTTTTGGTAGTTGATACATCTCTAGGAATGCATCCTTTTCTTCCAGATTATCTAATTTGCTGGCATATAGTTGCTCATAATATATTCTTATAATTGTTTGTATTTCTTTGGTGTTGGTTGTGATCTCTCCTCTTTCATTCATGATTTTATTTATTTGGGTCATTTCTCTTTTCTTTTTGATAAGCCTGGCCAGGGGTTTATCATGGGAGGGAGATTATCAATCCCTCCAATTACTTGTTCCACAGCAAAGGTATGAATGCAGAAATGCACTTCCCAATTCAGTTCATAAGCAGAGGTGCAAAATGTCTGGAAATTGACACCACAAGATAGGAAACTCTTTTGAGAGAAAGAGGGAAATTGGGGAGATGCTAAAATATAATGCAGTGCCTACGCACTCTGGAGGCTTGTTTCCTCATCTGTAAAATGGGGGTTTACCTCCAGGTCCCATAGACTTTGGTTCTTAGTCTGTCACAATCTGGGATGCTGTGAGCTGGCTCTCTGGGTACTAAATCAACGATTCAATGAGAATGAAGAAATACCTGTGTCCTAAAAGGGTTTTAGGATTAAATGAACTAAAAAAACGTCCACACCGAAGCACAGAGCTTGCACAATAGTGAGCCTGACCGTGATTGCCTTCCGTGCGGGGGTTCCAGGCCCCGGTCGGGGGCGGGGGGTTGGGGCAGCCGCGGAGCGGGGCACAGCCTGCACCCCGGCCCGGCGGCCTGCCCCGCCCACGTGGGGCCGCGGCCCCGTCGAATGACTTGGTGCAACGTGTTGGTGGCGGCGGCGGCGGCGGTTTGGGCTCTTCCGGGCTCCGCAGCTTCCTGCCGAGCACCGCGCAGCCGCCTCCGCCGCGGAAGCCCCGGGTGCAGGCCTCGGCGGCGCCGGTGCGGGCCCCGGGCTCAGCCGCGCGCGCCCCCGCGGGGCCCCGGCCGCCCGACCGCACGATGCGCGCCGCGCCGCCGCCCGCGCCGCTCCTGCCGGGGCTGCTGCTGCTCGCGCTCCTGGCCGCGCCCGCCGCCCGCGCCCACCGAGCCGAGTCCGCCCCGGCGCCGCAGCCCGAGCCCGAGCCCGAGCGCCGAGCGCGGCCGTCGCCCGGCCCGGGGCCCGGGAACGCCACGCGGACGGGGTCTGCGGCGCCGGCGGGCGGCGGCGGCAGCTCCGACAGCGGCGGCGACGCCCTGGTGACCCGCATCTCCAGCCTGCTCCGCGACCTGCCCACCCTGAAGGCGGCCGTGATAGTGGCGTGCGCCTTCACCGCGCTGCTCATCGCCTGCTTGCTGGGGCGCGTCTTCAGGTGCGTCCCGCCGCCCCCTGTCCTTCCCCCGCGGGCCGCCCTGCCCCGCCAGCCTGCTGTCACCGCGCGCCCGCCACACCTGCGCGCACAGACGCTCGGGGCGCGCGGCTCCGCTGGGGGGGCGCTGCTGGGGGGCTCGGGGCGCGCCAGCCGGCCGAGCGGCCCGGGCTCTGCCCGGCAGGAGTGCGCTCCCCGTACACGTTTTAGAAACGTTCGCCTCCTTTAACGAGGGTATCACGAATACTGGCTTCCTTTGAACTCTCTAATGTTTAAAGCTAACAGTACGCTACCGATTCTGATAATTCCGTATTTATTTTTACACGGAATTTATTTTATACCCATTTCACAGATGGGGGAAAAAAAAATCTCCAGAGAGGCAGGGTGGTTTATCCAAGTAGACTCAGTGGTGGCGGTAGAATTTGAACCCAGGGCCGTCTGCCTTTAACCTTACCCACCTTTATGTCCTTCCCTCCCTTGCCTCCGAGGCGCCTTTTTTTTTTTTTTTAATATTTAATTTATTTATTTGAGAACGAGAGAGCACAAGCGGGGGCGGGGGAGCGGCAGAGGCAGAGGGAGAAGCAGACTTCCCGCTGAGCAGGGAGCCCGACGTGGGGCTCCATCTGAGGACCCTGGGATCATAACCTGAGCCGAAGGCAGACGCTTAAACAACTGAGCCACCCAGGTGCCCACCTCCGAGGCTTCTTAATGCCCCACCTGCCTTTTTCCTTTTTCCTTCATTGTGCTAACAAAAAAAAGGAGGGCACATTCTGCATGGAGCACTGGGTGTTGTGCACAAACAATGAATCATGGAACACTTCATCTAAAACTAATGATGTAATGTATGGGGATTAACATAAGAATAAAAAATTAAAAAATAAAAAAAAAAAAAGCAACTGCAGAAAATTCAAAAAAAAAAAAGCTGTGACTAGAGCTCGGGGATGTGCACAGGACGTGTTGGAGGTGTGCTTTGCACTGAGGATTGGAGCTGGACTCCAGGATGCTTGGCGACCCTTGGTGGTCTTAGGGCCTTTCTGTTGGGGGATGCAAATGGCTCTCCTGTTCCCCTGCCTGACAGAGCTTGTCCCAGTGAAGACTCCCAGGGGCATGAAGGGTCTTGGGGAGGCTTTTGTCAGTTGCTCAAGTTCAGGGAGCAAGTGTCTGGGAAATGAGGAAGGAGGACCTGGGAGTAGAGATGGGAAAAGCTACCTGGGATACAAGGAGGACATTTTCCCCAAATGCCTGGGAAATCCTGTTTTTGCAGGAAATGAACCAAATGTGTCCTGTTGCTCAAGCGGGCCGCTGGGAAATCTGGGTGTGTGTGTGTCCATTATTCACTGCCCACCACCGGCATTCCAAGTGTAGACAGTGTGCTTTGCTGTTTGATCAGCTGTTGGAGGTTTGGGGCCAGGGGCTGGCTCTCCACCCTGGGGAGCATTTTCAGCACAAGAGCGGAAACCAGACCTGGAAAGGCAGGGTGGAGAGTTATCTGTTGAGGTTTGTTGTTGTTGTCGTGTGACTGTGAGTCAAGGTGTTTCCTTGTGAGTCTGTACGATTAGATGCCAGAGGTCCTGAGAAAATGGAGCGGGCGGGGGGGGTGGGGGACATGTTTCCACATCCATCTCCCCATCCCCTGCCTGGCACAGCCCGCGTTGTTCCTCACTGTGCTGGCCCCCTTGATGTGCTTTGGGCATTGAATCTCCCCCCACCCCAATCCTTTCCCCTGCCCTCACTCTTCTGCTTACAAACTTCAGTGGCTCCCTGTGTAGCTATTACCTGGGTGTGGCATTCAAGGCTCTTATAGACTGGCCCCAGCCCATCTGGCGGCCATTAGCCAGCCCTTCTGAGTCTCCTCTCTGTCGCTTGCTTATTTCCTTATGCTCCATGGTGTTGGCCTGTGCTTTCCGACCCCGGGGCCAGTTTCTGCTGCATACCTGCCGTGACCGCCCCAAGACCCAGCTCCCAGGCTCCTTCCTCTGTGTGGTTTTCTGGACATCTGAATGAGACCCTCACTTGCTTTTCTGGCCTGCCCCAGCCCTAGCCTTGCGCATCTTCTGTACAGCCCTTCTCACGCCGTGCTTGGGTGGCTGGGTTTAGTGCCAAGCTCCCATACTCAGCAGACAGCCCTGGGCTGCAGGGATGTCCAGTCCCTCCCAGTGTCTTGGTGTCCCGTGCCGGCCTGGCATTCAGTGGAGGCACAATGGTCCTTTACTGACTTCCCGATTGTTCTGCTGGAGTTAAGCCTTGATGCCTAGAGCAGCTCTGAGCATGGAGTTTGAAACATTTTGCTCAAAATAGGCCTCCGAGCCTACAAGGCAGTGTACTTTTTAAGAAGGCATTTGAACTATTTTGCCAGTCTGCTCCTTATTACCCAGGGGTGGGGGAGAAAAGCAAGCAGCATGTGGCCGGATGTGAGCTGTGTGTTTGGGGGCGGGAGTGGGGGAGCCGACACTCAGGCCTCGTTGGAGGGTTTGCGCAGTTTGGGAAGGAGGTTCTGATTTCGTAGAAGCTGGTTAGGTGTATGATCTGCCTCCTCTTCCAGGCACGTGTTCTTGCGGGGGTGAGTTTGCAGGTGCCCCACTGCCACCCTGGTTTCCGAGGCAGACAGGAAATTAGAGCATTTTACAGCTGGGAAGGGCCTTGATGGCACAGAGTCCCTGTGCGCTCCTTTGCTGAGGAGAAAGTTACATTCCAGGGAGCAGACTGAGTTACCCGCCAGATTCTCGAACATGTGGCGGGGCTGGTGGCCCATCTTGCCGGTGGTCTGTACCGTGGCCTTTCCCCCCTCCGCAGTCCTCAGCAGGCGCAGCTCATCGGGCCTCCCGACCACCTGCTGCTCTGGGTGGGTGTCCCGCTTCTGTGTCGTCACTGGGTCCTGGCCATTCCACCCTTCGAGTGACCCGGAGGCTGGCTGTCCTGCCTGTGCCCGCATCCCTCTCCCATGGGAGCTCCCGCACCTGCCAGAGCTTCTGCCCGGCTTGGCTCCCTACCTTGTGTCCGAGTCTTAGCAATAGCCTTCATGTGTCCACTGCTCTTCCTGCTGCCAGTCTTGTCTCTGCCCCTGTCCATCCTCCCTCTCTGGTGTCGTCCTTCCCCTGTCCACCGACGCCCCCATGCACAAGCTCCTTAGTGTGTGGATGATGCTGGCTCTTCATATACAGGGCCCCGCCTCCCTCTTGAGCCCCTGTGTCGGCTCTGCCTACTGTTCCAGCCCCGCTGGGCTTCCAGAGGTTCTCCAGGGGGTCACATGGCCTGGGGCTGGCATGCTTTGCCCCACTCTGACCCTCTGCCTGGAGTCCCCTCTGCCATCATGACTACACGGCCAGGTCCTTGCTCTTTGCCCTCCTCTGTTCCCTCTGAGAAGCCTCTTTAGCCAGGGCCCTCCAGAGCTCCCAGAGCATGCTGGGGTTTTGAAGGTTCCTTGTGGAGTCGAGACAGGAGACAGTCACTGAACGTGTCCCTCTGCTTTCCAGCCTGGGGGGCTCCCAAGAGCAGAGCTGGACCTTGATCCTTTGTGTCTCTCTGGCCCCAGGTAGCCTCCAAGCACACACTGGCCTCTAATGAAGATATTTTTAGCAAATGAGTGTGGAATGCACAAGTATTTTGTGTTACTGATGCTCCTTAGAAAGTCCTCTGTGACTAGATGCATGGCTAATGCCAGAAGCCTTCGAGGTAGGAACTCATTTGGATGGTGACCCTCCGTTTCCTTAACAACGCAGACCAGGGAGGACGAGGGTAGTCAGGTTACTGCTTATAAAGCAGCAACCCTAGCCCATTTGTCTATTCTCCCTGAAGGAGCCACCCTGCCAGACAACAGAAAAAATGTGGATCCGAGGAAACCGTTAAAACTGAAAGCACAGAATATATATAGTAATGAAAAATACCTATACCTTTAATGAAGCAATTCCATCCCCAAGGTACACACATTTTTCACTGTGATACATCTTCTTTCTTCCAATTCTATTAATTGGGAGAGGAAGCCAAGATGCTTGGGCAGTGAAGTTCAGAGCAGTTCTGTTTGGTAGTGAAAATATTTAAATAACCTAAGTATCTAACAATGGATCTTGGTTAAATAATTTATGGAAAGTATGGAATACTCTCCAGCTGTTAAAAATGATGACGCTCGGGCGCCTGGGTGGCTCAGTGGGTTGAGCGTCTGACTCCTGATCTCAGCTCAGGTCTTGATCTCAGGGTTGTTGAGTTCAAGGCCCGTGTTAGACTCTGCATTGGGCGTGGAGCCTACTTAAAAAAAAAATGATGATGTTGATCTAATACTATATATCACTAAGTGGAATGGTTTATAAAATAGCACGTATAGTATGCTTTCATTTAAATAATAAATTATACATATAACAAACATGCAAAGAAATCTATGTGTATGTGCACATTTGTGGATGTGGGTGATAATTATTTTTCAGGTTATGTTTTTACATGATCTGAACTTCCTGACAGCGGACATATGTTCACTACTGCTCTCCCTGTCTGTAGGGTCAGCTCCTTGCTCTGTCGTTGGGTGTATCTGAGGCCTGAAGACCTGTATGAGAGCGTCTAGGATGTAAACAACAAGTGGGATTTTTGGGTCCCAGAGCTACTCATACTTGATTTTCCTTAGTCTGTACCGGTTCACCCTCCCGCCTGCAGTGCCTGAGGGTTCTCGCATCATAGATGGGAGGTACTTAGTACCATCTGACTTTCTCATTGTTCCAGGTAGATGGGTGTAATTTGGTCTCTCATTGGTTTGTTTGGCATTTTCCCAGTTTCTACTGAGATTGAGCAGCAGCCCCCCTTCCCATACTTATTAATCAAGCAGATCTCTCCATCTGCAGAATCATTGACACCTTTTTCATGTATTTGGATCATTAAGGAGCACTGTTTTAAGACTGGAGACAACATTGGAAGGAGGGAAAGGCAGTTTGCAGTCCCCTCAGGTCTGTTACCGGATACGTTTCTGAGAGCTGGAAGGGAATCAACAAGGAGGCTGTGTCTAGGAAGTAGAAAACCAC